TAAACTGAGCTAAAGCTAAAAAAACACAAATGCTATTAAAATAACAAAAGTCCTATTCATTATATCACCGGTTGATTATGGTTTGTACGATTCGTTGATTATGGATTGTTCGATCCATTGATTATGGATTGTACGACTATAAGTCATTAAACTGTTATTTTCCATTGCAAAGTTTATTAAAACGGAATTAAGAGATTTGCAGTGTCTGTCATAGACAGGTCAAAAGTTGTCACACTAATTGTAAGTGGATTCTGTTGGAATATCGCAAAAAGAAAAATTATCAAACTATTCACTAATTTAATTTTCTTAAAGGTTACATGATGATTTTTCGGAATAAACGGACGATAGATATCTAAATATTTTATGAGATCTAGAGTTATTAAACTACAGTAAATATATTTAGGGTTATAAACGTACCTATAAAATATTTTTGTATTTCACTTCTTTTTTCACACAAGTACAATGAAATGGTAGTGGAATATCACAAAGAGAAGACCTATCGAATTATTCACTAATTTAGTTTTCTAAAAAGTTATATTACAATATTTTGGAATTAACTTTAATACCTAATTATTTATATAGAAATACTTTACTAAAAGTAATGCTGCCCTACTACATAGGGTTGCTTCGTACACAGCATACTTATCAATCAATACGGGCATTAATTTTATATTATATTTTTCTTTTTTTTTCTCCCCCTTCATAACAATACTCTTACAAATTATCAACAATAAACTATATTAAACAATAGACATAGCATAATAAACACTTTCCCAAAATAAAAAAAAATTCCTTTTTTCTCTTTAAATTCTCAAACGCCAGGAACGCAATATAACATCGCACACATATATAACACAGCAATTCCTTGAATGTAGCCAAAAAGATAAGACGATTATGGACCAATTTAAAATTTAATAAATAATTACTAAACTACAGTAAATGTATTTAATATTATAAACACCTGATTTATACATCCATGAAATGATTTTATATTTTATTTCTTCTTTCACACAAGTACACTGAAATATTTTTTTTAACAATGCCATCAACTTGCTTAGATGGATTTTAAATACATTTTAAAAAAAATTAGCATTACCTTATTAACACATTCAAAATTCAAAAACCGAAACAAAGGATATAACCATTGCAGCAGAACGTATTAAAAAAAAACGAGAGACCATATCTTATTTCCTAATTGTCCGATTTTAACGATTTTTTTTTTTTTGTTTTTTAGGCTATTCCATAAACTTTTTGAAAAACATTCTTTCAAAAGTTATATTTAGCATTTTTTCATAACTCTGAATAATGCAAAATAATTATCTTTTTAAAATAAACCATATTAAAGGTACTTTAGAGAAAGACGTATATGAACATTGGGCATTTAAGCCCTGTAAAGTGACATCAATGGGGATAAGACCTAATTTATATTAAAGACCACTTAATTATACAATGATAGACCGAGTTTAATCAAAATCGTTAGAGCCATTTTTGAGAAAACTGTGAAAATGTTTTTCAGCGTTGATATAAAGTGGCACTTCCGGTTAGCCGATTTTAAGGTAAAAGTTGCCATCACAACTAAGGCATATACCTATCTTAAATAAGTGATATCAGTTTCATAGGACTTTTCGTTTTTGAGCTAGACTGCTAACATACAAAAACACAGACACACAGACCATTTTTCGGTACTTGGTCATTTCGACTCAGGGTACCTCAAAACGTATAAATCCGTCGAAAACTCAGATTCAAAAATTTTCTCGATCGCAATACTTACACTTACTATATATTACATATATACGTAAGTGAAAGTAAAAATATTCTGAGAGCATAGCATATAAGACTTGCAAAAATATATAAGTGACTTATAAAGAAAGGCTTTGTTGGAGTAAGGTCATTAAATGTTTTCTGGGACATAAATGGCTGCCGATTTAAGGTACACCCTCAAATGGAACCACCATCACTGAAGTTTTAATTCACTTTTTCAACCAATCACACAATTTCTTCTGTCATTACCCCAAGCATCTGGAAACAAGTCTATTTTTAAACTCTTTAGTTTTTCTTATTTATCAACATAACCTTTTTTTTTATCTCAAAAGTTCAAATTTTGAGGGGGAATAACTATTTTTTTCTTGATTGATTACAAAGATTGATTATTGAAAATGATAAACCAAATATATTTAAAAATCAAGATATCTCTTTACTGAAAGTGCTTTAATTACGATTAAAATTTTTTTGGGGGGGACTTTAAATATCTTTGAAATAAATGATTATAAATATCCCAAACAAGTGAAGACATTTGAGTTATTCAGAAATCTTATTTCACCACTTCTCCTAACATTTTTTCCACCTTCTTTTTGGTGAAGTATGTTATAAGTAAATTCTAAGGGTTTTTAATAGAAAACCTTGGCCAAGTTTCAATTAAATCTTTACATCTCTATAATCACTACATTCTATCACAGGCGGATCTACAGGGGAGGAGGAGTTTCTGGCTCTAGACACGTCCCCCTCCCCAAATGGTAAAATATAACCATGTTTTACAGAAAAAACTATCTCTTAAAGTATTCTTGTTAGTGTAATTACATTTAATAGGATTTTAAGAACACCATTTCATATAGGTAGTTAATTTCTTTCTTTTTTTTCTTATTAATTATCGTTATATGTATATGAAAAAAAAATCTAAAATCTTTCGGGCTGAAGTACCCCTTCTCCCCAAAATTAAATCCTGAATCGGCTAGTGCATTCAATAGCAGAATAGGTTTTTCGGCCTCCGTATTGAATGCAAAGGGTACATTTGATACGGATACTAAATCTCAAAACAATAGGTTTTTATTCGATTTTCAGGATTCTTCATATCGTAAAACCTCAAATTTTGAGGAGATTAACTTTTTTTTCTTGGTCAATTACAAAGGTTGATTATTGAAAATAATAAACTACAATAATCTAAATGGGTGATCTCGTAAGAACTTTTTACAGTGAAAAAATCTCAATTTCTTAAAAGCACTTTCTTGTTTTTTTCATATACAACTTCTGAAGGATGCATCCAAACGAAAAAAAAAAAAAAAATTCTTTTCAAGGAATTAAAGAAAGTTAAGTTTTACATCGATTGAGTATCACAATCTAACAATTTAGTTAAGTTTAGTTAACAAAGACGATTTTCACTTTATCAAAAACTTGGATGTATTACGATAAAGGGCTGCAGTTGGTAAAAGAATTCTATAAAAGATAAAACTCACAGAAAAAAAAAATGCAAATTTTCAAATTCTGCTTTTACAGGATTTATTATTTTCAATAATGATCCATTTTAATCTACCAAAAAGTTAACCTCCTACCTCCTCAATATTTGAGGTTTTATTTTTCATATTTCACAGAACCTCGAAAATCTAATAATAAAAATGTATATCTGCAGTCCGCGGCTTGGCTGCTTCTGCACCGACTGAACTGATTTTTTTGATGGGGCCAATTTTTTGGAGTTTTGGAATCAATGTCTGGAGTTACCCGAGGATGGTCCTGCTTATTTTATGGTTTACGAAATTTCCTGAAAAACAGAAAAGAAATGTAACAATTTGGACCAGGGATTTGCATTCTATATAATTACCATGTGTTATTTTGCAAAGCTGATCTTTGTTTCGGTCATCAACTGAACCAATCAAGTTAGTTACCTATATTTCTTAACAAATAATTGAAAACCCTTTTTTTTTATCTTACACAAGCCAATATTATTAAATTTTTTTATAAATCTAGAGGATCCTACCTAGGAAGCTTTTGAGAAAAATAAATTTTGCTAAGAGCTCTTTCTCGACATTGGAAAAGCCAATGACAGTTTCTGGCACAATGCCATATCATGGAAAATGAAACCGCACTTACCTTCCACTTATTACTTTCAATTTCTTTATTGACAGACTTTTCTGTATTTTCCGCAGATTCTCTCATTTCCTCAAAGTTCGCAAGGTAGATCCTGTCTTCTGATTCAATGTACTCCTCTGCTATCTTTAAGGCCTAAATCCTTATAATAGAGCAGAATGTTTTATCTGTTGCAGAATAAGTTATCTGTATAAAGCAGAACACTTTATCTATTTAAATAGAGTATACTGTATACCTTTTCTCTATCAGCAAACTTTAATATATTACGTGGATCAGAAATTTTTCGATTTTTTAAAAACTTTTCTAAAAAAGTTGAATACAAATAACAACAAAGACAAATAAAATAATTTTTTACTGTGAAATCTTTTGATAACAACTGATCACTGGATTACAAAGCAACAACTTAAATAAAATAATCTGGTACGATAAAAAATCCAATTCATAACAAACTTTGAAAGGTTCTGTCATTTAGGTAATTGACACCCAAATTTATCATAAATAAACCAATATTTGTGGTTATCAAAGGACTTTTTTTTATTAAACGCCTCTGCCGTTGGCTATTAGGCCATTCGGCTCCTGGCAGCCCAATACAACTCCGCCATGAATCCTTTTGAATTTGTGCCGATCCCATCAGAAGTACCGCGGACATCTGAAAGAGCGGGGCAAACTGAGAGGTGCAGATCATACATCTCATCCAGTTGGCAAAGAGGGCACATATGGCTTTCCATCACTCCAATCCTATGTAAATGCCTTTGCAGGTAATCGTGCTCTGTTGTCATGCAGAAATTCGCCACCGATTCTTTCCTATTTTTGGTTTGTTTCATTGGCTCCTCTGTTAAACATTCCCATTTTTTCCCAGCTACCTGTCGCTTTTACCAAATCTTGTTCTCTTCCTTGTAAAAGGATTTTAAAATCCTTTTAACAGATATGTAGGGCAGTGGAGGATTAGTTTGTGGCATTTCTGAGGCGATCCGTGCGAGCTCATCAGCTTTTTCATTTCCTGGCAGCCCACAATGGCTTGGAACGCATTGGAAAGTCACTCGGATTCCTTTATTAATTAAATTATTAATCAGATTTCTGGCACTTGGGACATCAGGATGGTCCAGGCCATTGCAGATCGACAGTATGACTAAAAGCTAGTTTAACTTAGAAGGGTTTTTAGACACGTTACTTCATGCCGAATTATTTTTTGAGGATTAATTGGAATACATTTAAATATGTAGGAAGGGATACAGTACTCACAGAAATTTAGAATCAAATCTTAGCTTAAAAGTTTATCAATTATATTAATCATAATATAATTCACAAGATTTTAAGTATAAAATGTCAACTAATTCATTCAGAATCCTTGTAAAGATCCTCATCTTCATGCTCGACCATCTCTTTGATTGTATCAAGCATTGGAACGTTTTTGGTTTCTGGTATGAACATCGAGAAGAATGCACCTTGGAGTGCTAGGAAGCCACAAAGTGTCGTCGGAATCCACCAAAACTTCCTTCCCTGTAAAAGATAATAATTATGTTTCCATAATAAAACATATATAAATGTAAAAATGTGTAAATTCGATCATATAAAATGCTACTTCTGGTTAGCCGATTTGCTATAACATCCCAGGCATATATCTACTTTAAATATGTAATTCCAGTTTCTTAAGACTTTTCGTTTTTGAGCTATCCTGTTCAAACACACACCACAGACAGATAGGTAACTATTTTCTAGCTTCCTTTCGTGGAAGTTTGTTATATACGTAAATTTAAAAGGCTTTAAGGAGAAGACTTAAGACAAGTTTCATTAAAATCGTTACAGCAGTTTTGGCGTTTGGATTATTTTAAAATCGGGACACCATAACCTTGAATAGTCTATTTCGAACGGTGGACTTCTTTTTTAGCTCCTAGTATCCTGCAAAGATCTATAATGGGTGATGCTGTGGAATGTGAGATGTTGTACCTAGTAATTGAGAAATCTCTTTTAGACAGAAGAACAGGTTGGCCACACTGGCTTTTGTTGTAGTGATAACTCTGAACCAGCTACTACAAGAAGAAGATGAAACATGATTTTAAGAGATATAGTTCAGCTATTCTGCCTCTTAATGAGAGGATTGGAGGACAATCCAAGTAAAAGGATCTCCTAAGCTACAGTCAGAATGGGTAGATGTGCGATGGTTCCTACCTAACACTGACTTATATATTTTAAAGACCTCATTAACTGTTGAAGAACATAGAATATAGGAGAAAAGAAGTTTCAAGAGGTGTTTGTTTACAAGAACATAATACACTTAAAGAAAAGTTCGTGTATATGCACTAACCATTATGTCCACTATGTAGGGTGCAAGTAATGCACCAATTTGTGATACAGTGAGGCAGCTACCTAAAGCAGTATTGCGTTTTTCTGTTGGAAATAGTTCAACAGTGTGAAACATGGTAACTCCATATGCAGCTGTTCCAAAGAGTCTCCCAGCCAAAGAAATACACATCATCGGTCCACCTGTTCATCCAAAACGTATTAATGAAGGTTGTTTATTGTATTTTATAATATTTATCAAAATACACAAAAATTAGTTGTTTTATATGAATTAATAATTCATATTAAAAAAAAAATTGTTCTAATATTACTATAACCCATGTCTTGGGTTCAGCACTTCCTTAGGAAGAACTGTTTCAAGGCCAACAGTTGTGCAGAGGGGTAATTAGGATGAGATGATGCTCAACTGTTAGGTTTTTCCACTTAATTAATTATTTAACCAAGAGAACCCAATTTGTAAAGGCTGAGAACCTCCCTGGATAATGTGAAAGAATAATAAACTGCTAACAGCCGGTTCCAATCAACGACTTTCAGCACAGGAAGTCAGTGCCTTACTGACATAGCTACCCCACTTTCTGTAATTCACATAAAACAAATTAATTTCTATAAATTAATTAATTTAGAATTTATATTAAGTCAAGATTGGGTCACAAACAGTAGTCCTAAAAAAAAGACCAAAAAACCTGTATTACAGGGACCTCTTGCTAAGGGGGCCATGAGTTGGATCTAAATAATATTTTTATAAAAACAAGAATTTTTAAAAAGAAAACATCAACAAGGTGAGATTAATAATATGCAATATAATTATTTTATATTATTAATCTCATTAATTATATGAAATAATTAATACAATTATTTAATCTAATTAAATATGAGATAAATACTTTTGATTAAAATCTATTTGCTAAATATCTACCAAAAATTCAGTGATTTTTTCAATATCACTTCAGTAAGGGGAGATCAGTAATTTGTCGTAATCAATCAATCAAATATATACATTATTGGCGCTTGTAGGTGGAAGATTTAAAATTTATGTAATAAATGGAAAACTTTGAATGTTGATATCTCAGCCAGATACTACTAGAACCTAACCAAATTAGATGGGTTTTGTTCAATCTTTCATGTACAACAAAACTACATAACCGAAACAGCATCCTTTAACCTACAAAGTCACCTCTCCCTTTTTAAACAGTGATGTAAAGTCTCCTTAAAAGATATTGCAACTTTAGAATTATAAATATGCAAGTTTTTTTTTACGTTATTTTCCAACATAGCTTTCTTCAGAAGGATTTTTGCAAAAAAGTAATGATATATTTTTGTCTCAGAATTAAATTTTTTATGAAATAGCATAAATTTTTTTTTTTTAATTTTAATTAGATTGGAAAATACATAAAACTTTTTTTCTCCTTTTTTTGCTCCATTAAGTACTTAATCCTTTTTACAAACTCTTATTTGAAAGTTCATATGAAGGAAATATAAAAAATTTGCCTAGAAGATCGAAATGCCGACTTTTTAAAGTTTTGACAACTGTGTGTTGTAGGCGCCAACGGTCCTCATAAACGGTGTATTATAGTACTATTCTCTTCATCTGTCTACTACACATTTCTTTCACCAAATAATGTTTCCATCAGTTCCTTGTTATATTTTGAAAGATTTGGAATCTTCTCAATAGTGATCGCAGAATTCATTTTTTCTAGCGTTTTTTTTCTTCTTTGCTTTTTGATATATTTTTTTATAAATTTATATCTTTTGCTATGATTTTTCTCCATATCTAACACTCCTCACTGAAATTAAATTTCTGAGTCGAAGAGAGTTTTGAAAGGTACATTAGGTCCTTTTTTTTGCTTCCCGCTGGTTTACAAGGAAGAAGATTGAAAGCAATAATTGGCTCAGATCACTAGCAGATGCAGCATTTAATTTTGGGAGGGGACCTTCAACTCAAACTTTTTTTTTCAAATATATATAACGATAATTATAACTTTTGGAAAAAAGAAAGATATTAACTACCTATGAGAAATGATATTTAAGCTATTCGTGAGAGGGAGAGAAGGAGGGTGCCATGGTCAGTCACATCCCATACAAGAAAAAAAAAAGAAACCTACTCCCATTTGATGCAACTTCGATCCCCCCTCCACCCCCTCCCTTTCATGACAAGATTACTGCGCTATAAAGTCACTTAATAAATAAATTCACTTAAAAAAGGATCCTGTTTTCTAAGGCAGGAATATTTTGACTTCCTTAAAAACAAAAACTGACACTCGTTTTGAAATACTATGATCCTGTCTAATTAAAAAATAAAAATATTATTTTTTTGCAAAAACTTTATATATGGTTTTTTAAAACAAAACTCCTACATTATTGGATCCTCTTAGTAAGTACTGTTCTTACTGCCCCCTCCCTAAGTTTTACCTCCTCATACAAAATTACAACCTATAAAACAGTAGAGATTTCATTTTTTACCAATTAACATTAATTAATTTTAATATTTTATTAAATTCACAATAATAGTTTAAATTATTTGTTGAATTTAACTGCCTTATCTAGAACTTATATTGTCCAAAAGAAATATTACCTGGTGGCATTACTATTGTTATCAACATTGTGATGCCAGAAACAAACCACAATATTATTCCTGAACTCTTCCGGCCAAAGTAAGAAAGAAAAAGGAGAGGAAGCAAGAAGCCTGGAACCTCAACAATTCCATTCAGCACAACATAGAGGTACTGATTGAAATCAAAGTTTATTCCACTTAGTGCTAGGAATAGAAAAATAATACACTGTAAGTTTCAATTAAATATTACACTACAAGAAAGAACAATTAAACAATACATGTTTATATGTAATTAAAATAATATATATTACTTATTCTGAAATAATAAGTCATTGATATAAACTGTTTATTTTTTATATTAGTTCTCCTTTTTGTACCAGGATGTCTTTTAAGACCTGATGCTATTAACATAATTTTTTTTTTATATTGGAAATAACTTCATAAGGTAACATATATGATGCTTTTGTTTGTTCCAAGTGTATAGACTAATACAAATCTGAAACCCTCAAACTATAGTATTTAAATACTTGTTACCAACACTTCTCAGAACATAAACTGACTGAATGATGGATATTTTTAAAAAGTCATCTAAACTGCAATGTGTATATAAGATACTCTCCAACAGACTAGCCTCATTCGCCGATTGTCAAATTGGCTAATACCAAGCTGGTTTTCGAAAAGGTAGATCAACTATTGAGCAAATATTTACTCTCCAGATGATTCTAGAAAAAAGTCATGAGTATAAAATTACCACTCATGTTTTTTATTTTATTTTATTTTTTTTCGATCCTTCCCTTCCTCGCCTTTAAGGCTACATGGGGTTTTCCCAGGACAGGGGGTGTGGGGGGGATTTAAAAGATTCCCCTAGCACTGGGATGCAAACTGGTGACACCCACCCATAAGCTGTTTATTGACTTCAAGAGCGCCTACGATACCATATGGAGACAAAAGTTGTATAAAGCAATGCAAGAACTAAACATCCCCTCAAAACTAATTTGTACGGTAAAAATGACAATGCAAGGTGTACAGTGCCGAGTATGCATTCATTCGGAATGGTCCTTGGAGTTTGCCACCAATAAAGGACTGAGACAAGGTGATGCATTGACATGTTTATTGCTTGATTTGGCTCTGGAGAAGGTGATGAGGGACTCAGGCATTCAGACTGGGGGCACAATATTTACAAATATGGTGCAACTGTTAGGTTATGCTGACGGCATTGATATTGTTGCACGGTCCTTTGCAGCTCTCGAAGGTGCCTTTCTTGAATTGCAAAAAGCTGCAGCTAAGATGGTGCTCCACATTAATGAGAATAAAACTAAATATATGTAAACAGAAGGAGAGAATAAACTTTCCAACAATTCTCTTATTTGAGATCACAAATTATGACAAAAAATAAGACATTACTTGAAATAAAGTAGAGAATAGCAGCTGCAAATCGATACTATCTTGGCCTACTTAAGCACATGAGAAGCTCACGACTTAGTAGACGTATGAAGCAGCAACTCTATAAAACGATCATTCAGCCAGTTCTTACCCACGGTAGCCAAACATGGACCTTAACCAAAAATGATGAAAAAGACCTTTTGGTGTTTGAAAGGAAAATCCTTAGAAGATTATTTGGCCCTTTAAAGGAGGAACTGGATTGGGGATCTCGGAAGAATAGAGAGGTCTACGAACTGTTTAATGAACATAATATGGCCAGAATAATAAAATTAGGAAGGTTAAGTTGGGCAGGACACATAGCTCGGATGGAGAGGTCTGAAATCCTGATAAGAGTGCTTGAGGAACCATTACACTATATGAGGAGAGCTGGCAGACCAAAATTGAGATGGGTAGATGGTATGGCAGGTGACACCAGAGACTTGATGGAAGTCAGGAATTGGAAAGTGGCTGCACAGAATAAAGAAATTTGGCAGAAGCTTATTGAGGAAGCCAGAACCCACTGAGGGTTGTAGAGCCATTAAGATTGAGAGAAAGAGACCTAAAATGCTACCATTTCTATGAGAAAAGGATATTGTTTTCGGGTAGTTTCAATACTTTATGCAACACCGTTTTTTTTAATGTTTGTATCTATACACCTTTAAATATTTTCTTATTACTCCGTTTCCAAATGATTACAATTAGTTTCATTTATTATTCCAATTTAAAAAAAATCCATGATTATTTGCCGCCTCTTTCAGCAAAATCATCAAGGAAGTAACATAGTTTGGTTTGGAAGAAATTATTTCCTTTTTTTTTGTCAGTGGCAGTTTCTAATTAATGCATTTTCTGTCTTATGATGAATATCACCTTATTATTCAGGTAAGGAAGTAGATTTATCTTTTTATTAATTATATAATTTTACAATGTAATTTGTAGTAGACATCCCCTGTATTTACTCCTTTAAATGACAATGTGTGAGGGAATGAGAAGGTATATATAATATATAGGAATGTGAGGTAGCACTGTGAATTGTACTCAATTGTGCAGTGGACAAATTGCTCATTGGAAAATCTGACATCGATAAATAATCGAAAAGAAGAAAAGGTCCGATCAGGTAGCTGGCAACAGATGGCGAGGACGACGCCAAACACTTAAGGCCTGGACACCAACACAAGAAGACGTCATCTGGGAAGAGAGGCTTACTACATTGAAGACCAAGATTATCAAGCCGACCATTCACTTATATATATTCATTTATGATCAATTGTCAAAATAAATTGTTTTATTATACTGGAGTGAATAGTCCTTTTATTTAGTTGTCCTATAGCCCTCACGATTGAAGAATAAACCAGTTGAGTCAATTCATTCAAAGTGTTTACTAAGTCCCACATTTCATATATATATTCTTATTGTTTCTTCTCACACAGTGTCATAAAAGGTAATAGATCCCCGAATTCTCAATCACAGTTAAACACCCTCAAAAAGTCTATATCCAGTGCCGGGATTTTGTTTTAAAGATTCACGAGTGTAAATAACCTTAAATCCCGATGTAAAAGCGGAAGGCTATACGCCTATTCCCGCCAAAAAATCTTTATTTTGCATTTAACTTCCTGTAGGTTATTTACAAATTTCTATAAATTCTTGATATAATGATAATTTTAAGAAGTTAATAGGGTAGTTTAAACAGAATAATTTGTCTTGTCACACAATGGATAGTTAACCATAATGCCGACCTTAGACATTTGGCACCTCCCAAAAAATTGGAATTATTTATTAAGTTGTTTTATAATAAGTAATATTTGAGTTGTTTTCATTCTATATGTCTCTAATTCAGCTGCTGCTGCTATTATTGGGCTGAAATTAACCATTCTCAAATGCTTTGTATTTTCTTCTTTTTATTTCCCAACAAATGGGGGTAATCCCTTCCAGGCTTGCACACCTTGTTTATTATGCAGGCTGCTCTACGCTAAGGCCACAGGCAATGGTTAATCAAGAAGTTACAAAAAGATAATTCTTACACAACTAAATACTCATAATTAAATGAAATGTGTCTTACCTATTACAAAGTAATAAAAACTTCCCATAAACCACAAATAATTGCATATTAAAATTCTTTTGGCAAGTTCAAGAGTTGAGAAAAGTTTTAGGTAATCTTTAAAGAAAAAAATCAATTTCTTGCAGTATGAATCAGAATTGACCTTAAAAAATAAATAAAAATAAACAATTAAGTATAAAATGTTAGATTTACATTTAAGATAAAATCATAAAACCTTAATATCTTGAGATTTAGCAGACTCTTTAGAAACGATGCCTGCTGAACTTCCTAATAGTTTTGAGGCTTTGTCTAGCTTTCCTGAAGTTATCAACCATCTTGGTGATTCTGGTAAGAAGCTAGGTATAAAAAATTTCAGATTAAAAAAAAATAGTATAATAGTGGAGAAATTGTGAATTGTTGACTCATAAGAGAAATTGGTTGGGGATTGCAGTCATGGAAGTAAACAAAAATAATGTGTCCCAAAAATATAATTTATTTTTGTGTACTTCCATTATTGCAATTCCCAATCGACTTCTCTTATAAAATAGCTTAATAATTACTAGACAAAATAAATGATTAGTAATGTAAGAGTTAAGATGGACAGACTGTTTAAACATGTTAATGTAACATCTCTTATAATCAGTAATCACTAATCAGAAATTTCAATCATTATTATAATAATCTTTATCATATAAAACAAAACTATATCTACTATATATACATATATGTACAATTTACTAGATTGACATTTACAGTAGTTCAAATGATACCATGATATTAACTTAATTTTAAATTAATATATTTAGAATAATTAAATAATAATTATAATAATAATAAAATCAATAATAGTAGTTACCACCCAAGGATTGTACAAGCAATCATAGGAAGAGAGATGGCTAATTGAAGTTGCCTCCAGCCAACAGTCAAATACGCAGCTAGTGAAAGATACACAAGTCCGATTGCAAAACCTATGTTGAATATATTCCCTAAGCATGTCCTGTATTTTTTTACTGTAAGTTCTAACACTGCAAAATGTAAGATTGATAAATAGAAAACATCATCAATACAATGGCAAACATTATTACATTTTGAAAATTAAATTTTTTCATTCACTATAAAACTATTTGCTGTCACTTATACTTTAGAAATAATATATAAAGAAATATTTGAGCATATTCAAGAAAATGTATTTGAAAAAAAGTTTCAATAGCAGAAGTGTTGAAAAAACCAAATAGTTTAATAAAAAAATCATAATTACCTTCAGTTATTTGTTTTAATATTAATATTTCAGAAGTTGATTGATAAGAAAATAAGTAAAAACATTGTACTAGGCATTTTGAATATTTCAAATATATTCTGAGGCATTGGATCGTATAAGCAAGACATAATTCAAATCAGGGATATCCATTCCCTCTAAGGGCAATGGTCCATAGTCCCTTCCCTCCCAAGAGGATTGATTTCTGTGACCTTAAAAAAATTGCAAATAAAAGTAAAATTATAAAAATTGTTATTTAGTTTTCTACCTTGTTCCTTGGTTTAAAAATTCTCCTTAATTGAAATCATACAAAAATGTTATACCCTTCAAAATATTATAATCACATAAATATGTGCCCCCTTAAAGAATTCACAACTTGTAAAAAATGAAGTCCCTTAAAAATTTGGATTGTGTAACTTGCGGCACGGCACGCAACTCCCCTCTGGGCACCCCTAATTAAAATTTTGTTCCTCTTATGATGCAATCGATTTTTGACTGCATTCCTTTTTTTACACAACTTCCTACCAGTAAGAATGATAGACATTCTAATCACTTTAATAAACCTATATAAAGAGATGCCACAGATATTTTGAATATTCAAGATGTCCAGTGATATATTCATTGATTATGAATTTCACTTGAACTTACCGAGTGTGTAACCAGTTTCAAAGATTCCAGAGTTAGCTACACCAATCAATAGTCTAAGTATTATAAACATTGCATAGCTATGTACAAAAGCAGCCGAAGGCCCTACTACCGTGAGTAGAGTACAGGAAAATATAAATATCCTCTTTCTTCCATACCTAAATTAAGTATTATGTTAATTAAATAATATAATACAAGTTAATAATGAAAACAACTTTAAAAAGGAATCTATGTTATTTTTGTGACTTGTACTTCGCGGTATCATACAACACAAAAAATTAAAATTAAAAACAGTATTATGTCTACTTTTCAGTGAGATTAACATTAAGAGTTCATAACTTTTTAGATATATTAGCTTTAGAAATATATCAGATATGTTTTAATTATTTTCATTATATTTACTCATGAAATTTAATCCACAAAAAAACTATTATTATTATTATTATTAAGATTATTTATTAAGAATGATTTTTGATGTTATATAGGAATATTTTGAAAAAGTATAGGGTAAGTGTACCAGTTATCACCACCTTATGTGTGCTTTTTCAGGCTTCAACCAATAACTTGATCATTATAGAATCAATACCAATGTTTTTGGCTCTGTTAGATCTATGAACAACTGACAGACACCTTACATCCCTTTTGTTTCCTCAAAGTAATCTAGTCACTAAAAGGCAAAAGTCGTAGTTGGTCTCAGTTCCACTTTCACTAGGGGCAGTTATCAACAGTTATGTTTTACATTTATCACCACTTATTTTGCAACCTTTATTACATGTTTGAACTTTGAAAATGACATAGAATTGTGGGATTTGATATCAAATGTGAGATATTGAAGTAGACTTAAATTTCACTCATTACAAATATGCAAAGGTTTCAAGCAGCTACAACTTTTTCATATACTTGAGCATGAGTACAGGCACTTAGGGCAATAATAGGACTACTCTGGAGGTTTAAACATTATTAAACCTAAAAATATTACAGTTACAATAAAATGTTGGTATGTAAGAGAAGATTAACATTAGAGAAATGATAAAAAAAGTTTATTTGGATTTATTAGTTTTGTTATTGTTAACATAGATATACAAATACAGAGCTAGTCCTGGATCATCTTTATCATGTACCGATGGCTACCACTAAATAATAGTGTAATATTCTGATTTATTATTTGCTTTATATTCAATACAAAATATATTATTTATTATCATTAGTAAACCTTAATGATTTTAGTGATTTAATAATTGACTGAAGTACATATATTGAAGAGAATTTGGTGGGGTGATCAGTCAAACAAAGAACAAAATAAAAATAAATATTATTTATTTATTTCTTTTTATTTTGTTGTTTATTGGACCGAATACCCCAACTAACTTCTCTTCAACATAATTACTATAAGATATCTGACTAGTAAAATAATTATCTATCTTTTGCAATTTTTTTTATTGGCACAAAGGGTGCCATCTGTCTTACGGCAACTTTTGTGAGGACAGATGAAGGCCAGAAATATAGTCCGAAACATAAAAAAATAAAAATAATTTATTTATTTATACTTTGTTCTTTGTTTGACTGAACATCCCAACCAACTTATATTCAACATAATTATCTTATGGTATCTGACTAGAAAAATAACTACCTTTTCATTTGCAATGTTTTTTGTACTCGTTTACAAAAAAATTATAAAGAGAATCAGACAGTCATTAGGGGGAAAGGAGCAGGCCTTCCGGAAAAAGAGGAGGTCCCATATCCAATCTACACCTAATGTTTCTTAACTATAAAAAATAACTAACTAAATAAACACTGTTTCAGTAATCAACAAGTAATTGAGCGATCGATCAAAATCCATTGTTAAACAATGAACCCAGTTATTTTTTCCAGAAAGTGTTCATAAGAAGAGGGATCTCAGAAGAATATTCCTCCTTCCCTCTCCTTGTAAGATATTTTTACATATAATTTTTCATTGTTTACTATATTCCGTTGAAAGGAGAATAGGCAAATATCAATTAGGCTTTATGAAAGGCAAAGCTAAGACAGACCAAATCTTCTGAGTCAGAAGAATGATGGAGAAAGGAGCTGATTATAATATTTATACCCACCATCTCTTTCTTTATTTCCATGCTGACTCTGACAGCATAATTTGTGAGGATATTTATGATGGAATGATTGCTTTCAGCATCCCCCCTCCCCCCCCCTCCCCGAAGCTAGTCCACCTTATCAGAAGTTTTCCTATAGCCACAAGGGACTCAGACAGGATAATGGTTCAGGATGCCTGCTGTTTAATATTGTCTTGGAATGTATCATCAGAGAGTTGAGACTCCAGATATGAGTGATGATTTTTAACAAATTGTGCCTAATTCTAGCTTATGCCGATGATTTGGATGTTGTTGAGCATAGGTTTCTGAGTATGAAGAGCACCTTTCATAATAATAATAATAATAATAGGTACTTCTCTCTTAGCGGGTAGAGTCGAAACCTTCCTTCTTATCTAATCTCGTTTCAGATAACCTCCCTTATCGACCCAATCTCGTTTCTCAAGTTATTGTGTTCTTTAGTTTTTCTTGTTCTTTAGTTTAGTTGTTCTTTACTATTCTTTAAGTTATTGTGTTGTTTAGTATTATATTGTGTTCTTTTGTTAATATTGTGTTGTGGATTCATATTTATGTGAGTTTTTGTGGCGGCGGGCGCATAAACATCAGGATCTCTTCCTCGCTATTTTAAATACGATAAAATTATTTTCCCTACCAAAATAAAATTTTTCATATTTTGTTTCCATCGTTTATTCATAATCTTTGTTTTATATGTACATATCCTGTTAAAGTAGTTTTTTATTATTTAATCCTTTTTTGTCTATTTTTGGCCTATTTTTATTATTTCATTTATTTTTGTATATATGTTGCAATGTTTTCGTAATGTTTTTTAATTATATATTTATGTTTTGGTATATATTTATGGTTTTACGATATATATGATTTGGCATATATTTATGTTTTTCAATATATTTATGTTTTGGTATATTTTAATATATACCTTGTGAAATAAAAGTATTTATAAATATACGTTGTGAAATAAAAGCATTTATTATTACATTTCTTTCTGTTTTTGTTCACAATTTCAATAATATCTATACAATACAATCAATATGAATACGAACACATAATAAAATGAATATAATACAATATATACGAATACGAAGAGCTTATCAGTGTTAAGGTTATAAACATTGGCGGATAGCAGTCGGACTCTACCCGCTAAGAGAGAAGTACCTAATAATAAAACAGCTGTTAATATTGGATTGCAGATAAACAAATCCTCAACGAAGACTCTGTAATCCTAAAAGAGGATAATATCAGAATAAAAATTAGCGATTTCAATTTGGAATATGTAACTGGAGATTCATTGATGGATTATGGGAGCCAATATATGCTATTATGCTTTTTCAGAGACATATAAAAAGCAAATCCCTCTCTAACACCATAAAGATTCTACAAGAGCCTAAACAAGCCCATCATTACATATTTGTCAGAGTGCTGGTTGCTGAAGAAAGAACTAGAATCATCTCTATTGAGATTCAACAGAAAGATTTTGGAAACAATTATATGGCTGATGTGAATAAATGTTCTATGGAGATTGAGTAAACACACTGAGCTAATGAATCTCTATAATGACCTTGATATTGCCCATTTAATAAATATTCAATGACTAAGATGGGTAGGGCATGTTGCATCTATTAATAATAATAAAGTCCCCAAAAAGCTCATAGAAGAAAAAATATTCAGACGTAGAAGAGTTGGAAGACCTTGCCTGTGTAGAGTGCATTGTATGGCAGTAGATGCTCAGAAGTTGTTGATGATGAGAAATTAGAAGACAGGAACACAAAACAGAAAAGACTGGTGACTTTGCCTGTAGGAGGCCTTGATTCTTCGTATGTTGTAAAGCTATCAAAGAAGAATAAAAACAACAATAGCTCCCAATCGACACTTTATTTCACCATGACCTGATGAATATTAGTAATGGATTGCAGTTGAAGTCCTTAACATATAAAATGACATCTGATTCATATTTGTACTTAGCATTAAACTGTAATTTTTTCACATTACAGTTGGTAGTGGTGATAACTGGTACTTGGTGAGGTCTGGTAAAACATACATGCTTATATTGTTCTTAGTCTTGTTAATAACTAACAAAAAAAAAGACTATTCATTAGTAAGACAACCCTTATAACTTTAAGAGGCTACAGAGTATACTCATCAATACAAAATAGACATAAAAAGAATAAAATAAAATTATTAATATACAAGTAGGTAACATAAATTATTACGCTTAAAATAATTTTTCTTTTTTATAAATTTTTCTATTCCATTCATCTCTTTTTTAATGCAATGAAATTCTATTTTTGGTTTGAATTGGCACCAAGATATAAACAAGTGGCAAAACGTTACATTTAAACAATAAATAAAATTAAAACAATATTAATATTACACAAATCTATAAAATTTAATTAAAATGACTAAATTATGTGAAATACAACTTCTAACCTGTCACTAATCATGCCAAATACTACAGCACCAAATAATTTTCCGAATGCTACAGTACCCTGTGCTGTAGATCTGAGAGGCAAATCATCACAAACAAGATCCCACTACATACATAAAAATAAAATTATAAGGATGCTGATTAAAAAATTATATCATATCTAAATACAGACCTCGCTAATGATTGTTTCATGAAAAACTTCTTCTTCATAAATGTAATTTTTACATTTTACCACATGTGGTTTTGGCCTTTTATTGCAATAACTTAGGGCTTCTTCAAAATCCAATTCCTTCAGCAAAGAATAATTCCTGGCATAATGAACACAACTTTGTTTTTCCAATCTACACATTTATAATATATTTCATTAATACAATTAAAGTATAAAAATGAAGAATGACTCAAGAAGAGGTCAGAAAATATAAATCAACTATCATTACCTACCCAGGGCTGCTGATCTCTCTGATTTGTTCTTTTGTCCAGTTTGTTTCAACTAGCTCTGGTATGTAGCAGAAAAAAGAAGGGTTTCCTCCAAGAAACACATATGAAGATAAATGTGAAGCAACAAAAATTAATGGGCTGCAAGTCAGGAGCAATATCCATGCTAACCAAGCATGATTTCTACATTTTTTTTCCAGAGCATTTTCTAATGTGGCTGGATCCATCTGACATTTTAAATGCACATGAGTGTAAATTATTAGTGATGAAGTGTAAATATTATCATTAAATGATAATATAATTATCAGAGAAAGAATGAGGCTAGTTGGCATATAGGATAAATTAGCAAAAAACTTCTCATCACCAAAAAATCTATGGAATCCCGTCCCCTGGTGATAGAATCCCATCCCCTGGTGATAGAATCCCGTCCCCTGGTGATGTCATATTCAACAATTTTTAATTACCGTTTTCACAGTTTTGTGCTTCCATTGAAGATAAATTAAGGAAAGTTTGTTTTTCAGCTTTTTAAAGTTTTATTTCATTAATGTGATATTGCAAACACCAAAGCTTAGAGAAAAAATATTTGTAGAAAAGCAGTCATGCTACAGTGTAGAAAAAAAGAAGTTCTCATTCTAAATCTGTTTTATTTTTTATAGCTATGATTAGTGTTCCTTCATAGGTTTTCTAATACAAAACCATGTACACAGTTGTTATTCATTATTTTATGAGACTTTTCTGGACTGTATTACCAAAACCACCATTTTATCCATCGAGATAAAGAACATTTGCAGAGCCATATTTTGCATGAAAAATCTATACATAAAAATGTTTTCAACTCATTTCATATCATAAATTTATACTTTCATGAACATAATGCCCTGGAGATGATTGATCGTAATTATAGTTTGATTCATCAGTCTTCTAACTTCTTCAGTCAGTGCCAGAAGAAATGCCCTAATGAAGATCTACAACGTAGGTCAAAATGTTGGCAAACACAATAAAATACTATTATAATAGATACTATTGTATATTTACCACTCCCCTGATCAGCTTCTTCTCAAAATATAATGAACATAAGTGAAACAACACTGGTGATGTATGTATGTATATAGTTGATATGAGTTTTATAACAAAATGCAGCAACAGATAAATAAGTACATGTATTTTTTTCACCGATGTTATCTCATTTTATATTATTACATAAAATAATAAAAACACTAAGCTGGTAACATGTTATCAGGCTAAATTTTATTTTTAAGTTATGCATTATTTAAGAACGCTAAGTTAATTTGCTCCTACCAGATATGTTGGAATTTATAGTTTTATTTTTATTTTTATAACTTAAGAATGAGCAAAGTAGCTCAAAACATTGTTATAACTTGAACAAATAGTAATATTATAAGAGCTTATCGATTCTTGAATACACCATATATAAATCAATGTTTAATTTCTTTAAGAGATAGGACCACGGGTGCCCAGAAGGGGGTTTTATGGCGCAAGTTGCGCCATCAAAATTAATAAGGGGAGGCACTTTTTGACAAGGTTTTCAATTTTTGAGGGGGGCACATTTCAACTAGGTTATGAATTTTCAAAATGAAAAATTCCAAATCAAAAAACAAGTGGAATCATGGAACATAATACACGATGTATAATGGTTTATAATCTACGAATATTCAATTTCTACTCTCGTTTGTACTGTTTTTAAGAAGAAGAGAGGAATAAAGTATCTTGGGAGGGGCGGGCGAAAGTCTGTGTTCCATCGGCCTTGAGGGGGATGGGCACCCCTGGATAGGACCAATGTTGTATATGATCTCCATTAAGTTACCTAATTTATATACATTTACACCACACTGTATACAACACAATTTATTTTGAAGAGTATGATTTATGTCCATTAAAGGGTTAATTATGTTCCAATTTTTTAACAAGGAAAGGTTAAATTTAAATTTTGTAATCTTATAAAAAGTGTCACAATTTTTGGAAGTTATAATGTAAAAATGATTTGAGTTAGACTATTTATTAATTCTTGCATTATAAACTAGATTGTAAAAAGTAATTATGAACTACTGATTCCTGTTGTTTGAAAACTTTCCTTGTTATATACCCTTTTTGCTTATGATAATTACGTTGAGGTTTCTTAGAACAAAGCTGAGATTCATATTCAGTTTTATAAAACAATTATATTATGTGAAATTCGGTCTTTTCAGTGTAACATTTTGTCCAAAAGTATAATTACAATAAATTATTACAAAGCTTTTATTCCTTTTTCAAATTAATTAGTTACTAAAATACATGGTATATTTATAAAAAATATGGTAAATAAAATATGTAATGTGGGTATATCAAATGAAGTTATTTTTGTAACAATAATGAAACTTACAAATGGATTTAAAATAATCAAAATATATAATAACACTTAATATTATACAGCATTCGATGCTCCCGGACAATGAAATCATCTTTCTCCCTCCCCTAAAAAAATTAAATTTATTTCTTGAGCGGATTAATATTATGCAATATCTGAATTTGATTTCATTCAATATTTTTCTAATAAAGTTGCTTTATTAATAGGTTAAATTAATTATTTTAATATTTCTGCTTTTTTTTTTTTTAATTTCTAACATGTGTCAAGCTCTCCTGATGATTGATACCCTTCTATTGGAGTCCCGGGGCAATTGCCCCAGCTGTCTCACTTTAAGGCCAGCACTGACATTATATTATGTCCTCTTTGAAGATTCCAAATACTTTTCTGCAGAAAATGTGGTAAAAATATTGCCTGAAAACGGAGAGATTTGCATGAGAGGTGTATGAGTCATAAAATCCTAGAATATGTTCCTATATTATTATTCCTAATAAATGAAAATTTAAATTATATGAATTTTTAGATAAAATAGCTACGCACTTCTAGGCCTCAGCCAATTTATTTTTTATTTTCTTAGTTGATTTTAGTTAACGTATTTTATTTATTCATGTAGTTTATTTGTTATGAATTTCAATTTTTTTTTTTTTTTACTTCAAATTGAGTTTCGTTGGATTTCATCAAATTCAAATACGTTGGGTGGCGAAATGTTGTTATCACCTCCTCAATATTTGTATTGGTGGGGCAATCAGCCTTCCTTCCCAAAGTCTGTGCCTGTGGTTGTTCTAATGAATGGTGTAAATAACTATATCAAATTATCAATCTATCTCTGATAGTTGAGACATTAAGGTCTGGAGAACCTCCTGGGGGACAACCAGCCTTTATAAATTGGGTTCTCTTAATTAAACAATTAATTAAGGAGAGAAAACCTGGCAATTGAGCGTGATCTGGATCAAATCACCTCCTTCCAAAACTATTGATGTAGAAACAGAATTTCTTTCATAGTGACCTCTACAATGGGTCGTGGTTGTCATTTCAAACTTAATTTCATTTTCCACACCCACAAAGACTTTAGATTACTTACATATTAGATATTGATGTTTCTAAACTGTTTCAAAAAATAAATTATACATGAATATTGATACTTTTATTTCTTGAGATTTATTTTCAACCTGAGAAAATATTTCTCCTTTTCTCAATAATTGACCATAGTAAAATATTCAGGAAAAAGATGGTTCGTGCTGGCAATCATAAAAAACTTATATTTGTGGAAAACTATTTTGTTTGAAGCCTTTTTGAGCCAACTATACAGACCTTCATGGGGGCTAGAAGGAACAAGATACCAAAGGATATAGAAAATTGTGGGAGTAACATGATATTTAGATAAAAATTATAAATACTGTAAATAGAAAGTGTATAAAAGTATTATGAACATTAAAATATATAAACAGAGTAAATAAAGTATTAAGAACATTCAAATATAAAACTAAGTAACAAAAAATTAAAATAAAGTAAATAAAATTGGTAATGGTAATTGTAGATAAGAAAAAATTGAATGAAATAAAGATGATAGGTTCTCTTTTTCCTTCTTGTTAATTATCAAATTCTTTCATAGTTTATATTTAGCCTTAGCCACTTCTTGTTACTAATAACCAGGAGAAATGGTTATCTATTTGGAATAAATCATGTTAAAATTACTTCAGAGAAAGAAATTTTGAAAATTCTGCATTTAAGCCCAATTAGACTATTTCAATGAGTATAAGACCGACCTGATATTAAAGACAATTTAACGAAACTATCGATATTGGTATATTAGTGTGTATATATACATTTATATAAATTATATATATATTTATATATATAAATATATATATAATTTATATATATACATTTATATATATATAAAAACCTAAATATACCTTCTTATTTAACTATTTTCTTTGAAAAAGGTTTTCTCTTGTGCTTTACATTATTTAGAAATTCCTTAACGACCATCATTTGTTGAACCTCATCGAACTACCAATTATTTATGTATCTAAACTATCAATCCTTCAAATGTATATGTGAATATTTTTTTAATTTAATTTTTGTTTTTATTTTTACTGTTTTTATTTATCACTGACCCAAACATATAACACCTACTATGTTTCGTAATATAAATAATTTCATCAATTAAATTCTATTTATTTATTCACACCTGTCAGAATTACTGACAATCAGCTTATATATATATATATGATGGTTTACAGTGATCATATTACTAGATTGTTTATTTATTACAATAAATTATTGTTTTGACTGTAATATAAATTGAATTATTTATTTGGACAACAGATCTTCACTTACCTTACGAAACAAGGGACTGATCTACAACAATTTACTGAGACCAATATGGACATATGGAGCAGAACTTTGGGGTTCAGCAAAACAAACACACATAAACAAAATACAAACAGCACAATAAAAAATTTTATGTATAATTATTAACGCACCTTGGTACATTTCAAATACTACTATACATAACGACTTAAACACCCCAACAGTAAAATCCTACATCTACAACAAATACACTACATTTCATTCTTCAACCCAAAATCACTCCAATCGTCTGGTTCTTTCTATCTCCTGCTCTCTGTTACATGAACAACGTAGATTAAAAAGAAAATGGCCAAGACCTACTATACCAATAAAAACCATATCAAGCAAATACATCAAGACAATACAAACACAACAAATTTGCTAGATGCGCAGCCGCACAGGTGCAAATTGCATAAAATATAAATAATAATAAATAATTTATTTATTCACGAAATTTCTATCAATATTCAGGTGTATCATTAGAATTATTTTTGAGAACTTTGTAAAAATGTGTAAGTGATAGTCAAATAACACTGTAACATACCAAGGATCTATATATCATAAATTTGCAAATACAGTTTTGTGCAATTTTTTTTTAGCTAGTCTGTTAAGAAATAAACACACACAGTTTTTAGACTTCTTTACTTTGGCAACTATAGGTGCCTGGCAAGGCAATATTTCCCTGTAAATTTATTGATATAATAAATGAAATTTATAGTGGATATCCTGGAACAAAATTTGTGAAATGTTCAATTACATCAAATAAACTTGGATTTTGTATAAAAAATTTTCTTTAATTTAGAGCATATAATATTCGAGATAACTCATCAGGAACAATCGGAAGCACCCAGAACCTTTGGTCACGCTTGTTGGCTTCGTTTGTCCCGGTCCAATATTAGCAGCTCCTATTTTCTCCTCTCGTTCATTATCAAATACTTTCATATTTATATTTTCACAACTTTTATTACTAGTTACGATGCAGGGCGGTCCCTCCACGCCCATTGGTATAATAAAAGGCCTCTGGCCACAGATGCAAAGAATGCATACAGCGTGCATAGCCCTCTTACCTTAAAATGCCCTTGGGCAATAAAAGGAAATTGTAAATTTATGTATATATATATATATATATATATATATATATATATATATATACATATATATATTGTATTTTGTAATCAAGAAATTCCTGGGGGGTAGGAAAAAAAAATACTAGTTACAATTTAAATGGTTAATTATTTCAAATAAACACAATTAATAATATTTTAGAGACAGTTGTTTTGAAAATTCGGCATTTAAGCTGTGATCGATTATTTCAACGAAATTAATTTAACAGACCGTTTAGTTATACATTTACATAACGAATTAAATCAAAATCGTTAAAGTTTATTTTGAGGGGAAAAAATGAGTATAATTAATGGTATGAAGTGTCACTTCCGGCACGTTACTTTTGGCGTATAAATTGCTGTAATCGCAGGTATGTACATACCTTAAATACTGTGATGTATTGATGAATAGAAACACCTCATTCAACTCTAATGGGGTTTATAATAATTAAAATTAGAAAGTTTATTAATTAGGCCAATGACATCTCCTTCCCAAGAGAAATCTCGATCAGGTACATCAA